TGGCAGCTAGAAGAGCCTTAGCCCGAGTGTAAAGACGGGCGAATAGGAAGGAAGACATGTCACACTTGTTATGTGATTTTTCATCTCGAGCCTTTCAAAATTGTATTTGTTCTACCTACCTCCTAACTATTACTATCTTGAAATATATGGGTCTATAGAAAAGGCATGTTTTCAGATATTTCCAAATGGGAAGAATTCACTCGTATCATTTAGAATACAACATCACGATATCAGTCTCCAAGACTCCAACTCCAACCTTCTGGATTTCTTCTTTAAGCGGGGTAGCTCTCACAAAACTTGGAGTCGATGATGACCTTCCTGAATCGTGCTGCTGACCCTGTCGCCTATAGCATGCCATGTGTTGATACGGTGAGTAAAGCCCCTGGCCTTAATTGGCTCTCTTATGTCTGTGCCGTTCTTCGCCCCTTATTGATGGGCTAGATGAGCGAGCAATTCGGCTCTAGGAGCTACCAGGATCAACACCAAGCCCGAGTATCACCATTTAGCCCTATCCTATCTATGCATGCCGCCTGGCAAGGTTGCAAGCGATGCAATCCGCTATGAATAACACGATAATGCAGGGGATCGTCCAGTGTGCCAAGTCTCAGGCCATAGAAGTAAATATACCTACCTAAGTAGAGGTACCTACCCAGGTAAGAATGATAAAGGCATGGCACTCGGCCGTCTTGCAAAGAGTTGCGACTAGCCGCGTTCGCCCCTTTTCGAGACATTCGCCGCTACGGTGGACATTCCTCGCCTCAACCTCTCGTCATGTTGCTAGCTAGCCTCCGCGCAGGCTTCGGCTTTGCTATGCTAGCTCCATTTGTTCGAGCTCAATTCCCGCCAACGCCAGAAGGCGTCACCGTTCTCGAATCGAAGTTTGGCGATGGCGTTACGATTAGCTACAAGGAGGTGAGCCAATACCAATCTAGAATTTCGGATGCTCGAGCTTACACATTTCTTGAAGCCGGGCATCTGTGAGACGACACCGGGTGTAAAGTCATACGCCGGTTATGTACACCTCCCGCCCGGATCTCTCGCAGACCTCGGAGAGGAGCAGGAATACCCCATCAACACCTTTTTCTGGTTCTTCGAGGCGCGGAATGACCCCGAGAATGCGCCATTGTCGATATGGCTGAACGGTGGTCCCGGAAGTAGCTCCTTGTACGGGCTCTTCACCGAGAACGGCCCTTGCTACGTCAACACGGATTCTAGTTCGACTACTTTGAGTGAATGGGCTTGGAATACGGATGGTAAGCCGAATAGAACTATCCCCTTCGTCGGGTTGACCAATATAGCTAATCCACCAAAGTCAACATGCTATTCCTTGACCAACCGACTCAGGTCGGCTTCTCATACGACACACTGCAAAATATCACCCAGGACCTGGTCACAGGTCGCGTCGTCAAGCTCAATGAGTCTGACCCTGTCCCCGACCAGACCACTACGCTCCTGGTGGGAACGTACCCGAGTCAAAACAGAACCCAGACCGCAAGAGGTACTCGCAACGCCGCCATTGCCATGTGGCACTTTGCACAGACCTGGTTCCAAGAGTTTCCGGGATATCATCCCAACGACTCGAGAATCAGTCTTGCTACCGAGTCTTACGGTGGGCGGTATGGCCCCGAATTTGCCGCTTTCTTCGAGGAGCAGAACCAGAAGATTGAGAATGGCACGTGGAACGATACGGATGGCGAGAATTACATCCTCAACTTTGACACGCTCATCCTTATCAACTCCTGCATCGACCGCCTCATACAATGGCCGGCCTACCCGCACATCGCGTACAATAACACGTACGGTCTCGAGACCGTCAACGAGACCGTCTACCTAGGAATGGTAGATGCACTGGAGAAGCCTGGCGGGTGCGCTGACCAAATCCTTAACTGCCGCAATTTAGCGCTTGAGTATGATCCCGAAAACATTGGAATCAATAACACTGTTAACGAGGTGTGTTCGGATGCCGAAACGTATTGCTCGAATTTCGTGCGAGGTCCTTACCTCGAGTACTCGGGCCGCAATTACTATGACTACGCCTCGATCGATCCCAACCCATTCCCGGCTCCGTTTTATAATCAGTACCTCAACCAGCCTCACGTGCAGAGCGCGCTCGGCGTCCCGATAAACTTCACCCAGTCCTCGAGCGCCGTCGCTTTTGCTTTCAGGGCCATAGGCGACTACAACCGGCCTGGATGGGTCGAGGACCTCGCGTACTTGCTCGAGAATGGCATCAAGGTGCATATGATGTACGGAGATCGAGACTACGCTTGCAATTGGATCGGCGGCGAAGCGGTGAGCCTAGCAGTCAATTATACAAACACGGACAAGTTTCACGCCGCGGGATATACCGATATCGTGATCAACGATACGTACGTCGGGGGGCAGGTCCGTCAGTATGGCAACTTCTCCTTCTCGCGCGTGTACGAGGCCGGGCACGAGGTGCCGGCCTATCAGCCCGAGACGGCATACAAGATGTTCCACCGCGCCTTGTTCAACAAGGACATCGCGACGGGTACTGTCGACGTCGCGACGAGCCCAGAGTATGCGACCGAGGGCCCCGCCGACACGTGGGCGATCAAGAACCAGGACCCGCCGGACCTGCTGCACTTCTGCTACATCTACGACACGTCTACGTGTACTGACGAGCAGATCGAGAGTGTGCGGAACGGCTCGGCCGTCATTATTAATGGCATCATCAAGGATAAGAACTCGACACAGCTGTTTCCGGAATTCTTTGGCGACCCGTTGGCCGCGGAACCTTCCGCGTCCGCGACGACCGCCGGGGCGAGCGCATCGGCGACTGGGCCAAGCGCTGCGGTCCGTATCGTCGGAGTTGCTATTGATGCGTGGAGAATCTGGTTCTGGGCCGCGACTTTGGTGCTAGTACACGCCTCTTTGTCGTGGCTCTGATACGTAGGTACCTAGGTAGGTAGTTAACACGAACATTGATGCAATAGAAACCAGTGAACAGCTTATGCTCATAATCATCTCTGCTAGTGGACACATGTGATAAAGCAAATAAGCGACGAAATTCTTTCTTCCACCTTCGGGCTGTCGCATCGTAACACATGTCGCCTAGCAGCTCTTGCTCGCGATCCCATCGTATATGCGTGGTCTATTCGATAGCTTATCGCAAGTCCTATGCTAGCAGAACTCACCTAGGATACGTAGGCTATCGAGGGCGAGAGATAGATAGAATCTTGATCGGCACGGCGGCGGCATAGAATAGGGCTTTCTGTTGACGCATTGACTTTGGTTCGAATACGACGTCCTCAGCTGCAAAGTGATGGTAGGCTACGAGCGTTAGCGCTAACCGTTACTTACAGTACGTCGAGTAATAGTTATATGATGGGTGGTCAGACGGATACGTACCGCACTCGTCTCTGAATGTCTGAAACGTTTCAGCATTTCGCACGACGCCTGCTATAGTGACCTTTAGACTTGGTCTCATATCGAAGAGATTCTGAAGCGTCAACACTAGGGCCGATATAGCCACTTTATCGTATGTCTGTATGATTTATCAATGTTCAGCTCTCATCTCAAGACAACCAGGAGTACTGAGAGCTTACGATATCGGCGCCAATCACAACATCATATGGGTAGCGGGTACAATCCTCTTGGACCCATGTCCCCCTGAGGTCGTGGCCCCATGTCAAAGTTTCTGCTCTGACCTTCTCCTGGTCATCGAGGTCGTTCAACGCAATGTTCTCCTTCAGTGCTGTGACGACACCTTCGTCACCATCTGTGGTTGTGACATGGGTCGCTTGTAGGTGCTTGGCTGAGAGGATAGTGAGAAATCCGGTACCAGCACCCAGTTCCAAGACATTCTTGCCACGGACAAGGCACGAGCCAATATCGGTAAGCAAATAGGAACCAAGGTGAAGAGAAGCCTCCCAAGTCCGGAAACCAGTAATTCGTGATCCTAATACCAGGTGCCGCCGCTCGAGTAGCGTGATAGTAGGGTCCGACGCATCGTTATAAGCGTGACTTTCATCAGAATGGTGTACCTCGGGTATGCAAGTGAAAGTTACATACGCCTTCCCCTGAGCTGCGTCGAATTTGTATGGTGTTCCCCCGCTGATGAAGGACGTGAAGCATGTCACGAGCTCACCCAGAACTTCCTGAGGAATGATTAGTCATCGGATTGTCTGCGACTTTGGTAAGACAGAGATATTTCAGGGACTTACATCTTGCCCTGTATCTTCTATTGTCTTCTCAATTTTAGCAACGAGCTGCTTCAGAACGCGCATCTGATAACTCTCAGGCGGTAGTCTGGAGTTTCGGCTCGGATCGAATAGGTGTTTGTATAGCCATTTCTGCACGTCGACGTCCTTCAGAAACTTGGATGGCGGCCAAGCGAGAAAATCAGGTTCGAACAATTGCATGTACTGGCGGCGTAGGAGGAGTAGTTGAGGGTCTAGGTCATGATCCGACATGATAAGGAATGTGTGTAGGTAGTTGTGCTTGAGTGATGATGGAATCCAAAGACAGCGAGATATTAATAATGGAGCCGCTAATAAATAAGCAAGGACGCTTCTTTGGCTGCATAAGATAGGATCACCCCTGCAGTATTTCAACTCTCTTTCTTTATCGGTACCAGGTAAGATCTTGTTAGTGTAGGTACCTTCAACTATAATTAATACTCCATTATTTCGACTCCACTCCGAACTGGCTCAGACAATAATTAATAATTCAAATATGGTATGAAAGGTGAGAAGGAACCGTACATAGTCTAAGCTCATGGACGAGGACAGAATACTACAGGCCTTTCCTACCATGAGTTTGTCGACGTGCTGTATTACAGTATTATCTTCCTTACCTTATATCTAAAGCTATAGGATGTCTTGATGGCGTTCGTTCGTGGAGCCGAAAGACTACGACCCACCTAAAATGTCTAGGTTAGGTACACTTGAAGCCTTGTTTACAATGTTTAGAAGCAAAATTTTCATCCCAGCTCCGTCGACGAGAACTAGTAATTCTCGAATACGGAGCAGCTAACATCTCGATTCGTCTAGTGGTTAGGATACCGGCTTGTCAAGGACAATTGTCAAAGACAAACCATGCGCCGGTGGCCGGGGTTCAATTCCCCGATCGAGAGTCTTTTGTTTTGGCGTTTCCTTCTTTTGCTAATACTTTTGCTATTCGCTATATCTTTTGCGTTTAAGTAGGTAGGTAGGTACCTAGGTAAGTATGAAAGAATAGTAGAGGTATACTGTTCTATGATATTAAGGCTGCCATTATAAAGAGCTGTGTTAGATACAGATTGGTTTTTCATTAGATATAGATTGGTTTACAGATTACTTTTTGAGACACCTGATAATAACTGCCCACTAATTGTATTAATAATCTTAAGACGGATACGCAATATATTCTAATACTTATTTATCCCTTAGTCTATCTAATCTCCTTAACCTTGACTACGTCGGCAGGGAGATTTTCTATTAGGCCTCGGGGATATTGGTTTGGCTTGCGAATGCCGTGAATCTATTTATATAATTATAGCTTGCTTTTTCGAGCTATACTCGCTGAGTATACGTTAATAGCCCGTAATTTAAATTGTACCTTAGTCCCTATTTAATTGCTCTCGTATAAGTATAAGATGTAATAGCTCCGTTCGTTTGGGAGTATCTGTATCCGTGGTTATGGTATAGTCCTATATGGGAGGAGATTATATTGGCGTTGGCGTTGGCGTTATAGGTTGATGTCGGCTTAAACTAATTATCCCTGTAAGTGGCGGATTAGCACGCCGACGCTTCTACGGTTGAAGATTGGTATGGGTTTGATTGGTTGTTGTGAGGTTATAGGAAGAAGATCGTGTATTGGGCTGTTGTTGTTGTTGTTGTTGTTGTTGTTGTTGTTGTTGTTGATTTAGGGATTGCTAGATTGCGGTGTGGAAATGAAAGTAATCAAATTACTAATATAGTTGATAGGCAGTTGTTGTTAGGTGTCTCAAAAAGTAATCTGTAAACCAATCTGTATCTAGCACAGCTCATTATAAATCACATCTTCACTAGAATACGAACAAATATAGATGGTATGTTACGGCTAGCTTAACAGCTTTAATTTAAACGCAATTCGAACTATTACTAACCTTATCATAGAGGCGGCCGAGAGTATCACTCTTCAGTAAACATAGTAGAGTTGACGTGAGAAACGCTATAGTAATAAAAGTAACAGTCACTCTGCGCCTTGTTATATAATCTATGTAGTTTGTGTAATAATATTCGTTCCCAGACGATTCCTAAAGAGGTTAAACACCAGATGTGGTCAAGGGCGTTGACGTCTGCGTAGAAGCGGCAGTGAAAGATGTAGCTTGTATTCGGTTTATTGTTGTGGCATATCCTTGATAATTGACGTTGACAACCAATTCTTATAGGTAGGTCCATGTTCACAGACGTTCCATTCGGGCATGGGCGTGAAATGATATGTCGCATCGACTGGCCAATTTTGTACTTAGTTCCCCAATGAGTTGCACTCCTCCATTCCCCGAAGCCCTGGCTTTTCAGCCTGCATGCGGTGTCACCAACCATGCCACCGGCAATGGTTAGCTTCAATAGCTGTGTTAGCTTAGGAGGGTTCATTCGGAACTAGGTATTCCGAACGTGTCGAGGGGGTCATGCCTTGTCGAAATCACCTACCTATCCTTGAGAAACTGCTGAACAGCGGTAGATTTCGCTTCTTCTATTCTACTGTGATGCTAAAAGTGAACTCCTTGACTAAACTACATCTGACGGCCGTCTCAATGTGAATCGCATTTTTATAGCGTCGACTACTTCCCAAGTAAATCGTACTAGTTGCAGTTCGTAATGACTCCGGTAACTCGGTCATCGGGCGTCACGGCCCTCACGATTACCATGGTCGCGGTACTAGCACCAATTATATACCGCTTTGCATCTCCGTACCTGACGCCCCTTTCACCGTATCTCGTCTCGCTCTCGCCATTCAGTGCGAAGGCCTTCAGTCGAGAAGTCGAACGACCGCCTTCATCCTTCACTTGCCTCCCCCACACCTACACGACTGAGATCGTCTCTATCGACCCCCTCCTCATCTACATCGACTCGTTCCTCGCGCCAGCCGAGACCGAGGCCCTACTCGAAACCGGCGAGCCACAGTTCGCCCCGTCCCAGGTCTACAAACGCGGCCGTGACCAGGGCACATCGGACCGCACTTCCTCTTCCGCCGGCCTCCCCCGTGACAATCCGGTCGTGCAGTGCGTGCTAGCCCGGGCGGAGGGTTTCCTCGGGACCATGATGGATCCCGCGCGAGATGACATCGGGCCGCCGCAACTGGTACGTTACTCGGCAGGTCAGCGCTTCAACCAGCACCACGACTGGTATGAGCGACCGCAGCCAACCCGCAGGGGCATGACGGGGCAAGGAAAGAGCTGGAACCGCGTCGCCAGTTTCTTCGCCATCCTGCAGGACCGGTGCACGGGTGGCGAAACGTGGTTCCCGTACGTGAATACGACGGTCTCGACGAGGGCGGACGGGATCTGGAGGAGGCACGAGGAAGGGGGCTTGGCGTTCAAGCCCGTCGCCGGCAACGCGCTGTTCTGGGTCAACCTATTCGCGAACGGCACGGGAGACGAGCGCACTATACATGCAGGCCTCCCTGTGGGAGAAGGCTTGAAGACAGCGATGAACATCTGGCCGCGGAAGTTCTATGCGTAAAAAAAGAGGCGGGACTTGAAAGCAGCTGGGCTGAACTAACTTGACGGACCAATACTTGTGGACTAATGATTGGAAACAACGTGTATGATATTAGCTTGAAGTCAGGTCTAAGAATGATCCTTCATTTTATCTTGGCTTGGATAGGCCGCCAAGAAAGGGGGTATAGTACCTAGGTAGGTACCTTTACGAGGAAGGACGGATAACAGCCTTTCCTCTTCTTCACAACTTAAGTCTCCTGTCATCTTGGGATAGCTTATTCTGATAATGCTAGGGGGCGATAGGTCTGAAAAGCGAACTTTCAATACTAGGTGTATACATACAAGCTGAACAAGAATTCCGAAATGATGCGCATTGATCGGCAACAGCTTGTACAGTATTGGGCATTTTGTGCCATAGTCCTCGTGGTGGTTCTGTTAGCAGTCGGCGAGCTCGGAAATCAAAGGCGAATCTATCATTTTTCGTTACCCCTATTTTCGAATCGTCTTAGTCTCGCCTCGAGGGAAACCAAACATATAGTAGGGTGTCTAGTAGATGTTGTTTAAACAACACTTGTGGTTCTTAAAAGAAGTTGGTCTCTCTCAACACAGACGGGGTTTTCCATATGCAAGAGAGAACTAAATCCTGCAAATACTAATCAATGCTTTCTACAATGTATAAGGCTATATCTTAACTCTTACGTCTGGCCATTTCGGCTTAATATGACTTTTAGCTCGTGAAGAGAAATTCGCAAACATGCCCGATGCATTCCACAAGACGTTACTAATTCACCACTGGTTTTCGGCCACATTACTGACAAGTCGCCCATCTATCCCTTTAAACATATTTCCCACGCTGCGATGAGATATCACACTCGCTACATACCAACTCCATCCCATGCAGGTCACGATCGGGACCACAAAGGCAGCGAACGTCTTGGTTTTGCCACCTACTTCAAAAGGGTAGGTAGGCTCTCCTTTCCTTTCCTCGGAATAGCATCATATCTTCCTGTCCCATCATTAGGATCTCTTCGCTGATGCTTGTTATGCATAATATTATGGCGGCGTGGGACGGCTGCAAGGCCCGCACGTTGCGTACACAATCTGTACGTTTGCTCCGTCGGTATAGACGCCGTGATATTCGTCCTCGCAAGGGCCGATGCATTTGTCTTGGACTACGCGATTGCATGTAGAACAAAGCGTACGTTCCCAATCGCACATAATGCCTGACATGATTAGTATAATCCTAGATACTAAACATCTATACGTACCTCCTGGGCAAAGCGGCTAGGGTCTGAGTAGAACCAAGTAAGGACTTGTTGAAATAAGAAGAGTATTACACTATATAAACGGTCATCTTTATACACCCACCCACCAAACGCCTCCTATGAGGCAGAAGATTGTATCGTATTTACGACTTGCACATCATCTAGTCATCGCTAAGCGCAACTGTTACATCGAAATAACTCTTAAGTCCGACAAGTCACTTTCGCATCGAGCGGCTAACCGAATAGACGCTGGATGGCATGGGGGACGACGAGAGAGTGGCTGAGTGGGAGGCAAGCTGGGAATCGTCGGTACCCAAGTCAAGGCTTTAGTATTCAGTACGAGCGATTTGCTACACATCATATGTAGTTATATGATACTTCGGTGCCTCTTTAGCAAATATGATGTAACGCGTTTGTAAACTGGTAGTAGCTTATCATCATATGCCGACGAAAAGATACCTCATCTAGATATCGAATATTAAGTATTTTGGTATAGTGATGTAGTATCATGTAGACGCTACCGATACTCGCCCAGGGGCAGTGCGTAGACGACACCTGTAAGTTCTGATGTATACGATCATAGGTACTCCTCTCTGTGACGGTTCGTCTCTATGTAAATAGTCGGCGCAGCAATAGTACGTGGTGATCCAGGAAACCAGAAGCTTGGGTCTACGAATAACAATCAAGGGTTCGAGAGGAACGGCAGCGGCATGGGATTTTCTCGCGTAGTATCGCTACCAGAGTAGATCACCTGGCGTAATGATTAAAGCCCTGTCTAGCTAATACGTTCCGTGGTTCAACACAGAAAGGATCAATAGATGTCCCAGTTAGGCAATCTCGAAGCTGTAGGATAGTAGTCTCAAGTTTGGTATCACATCACATGAATCACTGTTAAGTCAAGCTTTGTGATTATTTCCTGGATACGTAGGTTAAGAGTTACCATCTCTACCATCTCTGGAGAATTCATTGGCACCTCATGCAGGCTGCGATGAAACATCCCGCAGTGCTACCCTATTCTGTCACCCGTAGGACTCAGCGTCCGGCAACGGTAGACTTTGCTAGAAGATTGAGTAACTTCTATTCTCGGTAGTAAGTTGGTAGTCGTGCATCACCCGTGGAATTCAGTCTGCGACACCGACGCTTCCTCACTCGGCTTCAGCAAGGTGCGTTCTTTTATTATCTAGA